GCCAAACAAATGAGATGTGCCAAATTTCATCCAAATCGGATTATAAATGCGATCTGTACTTTGTTTACAATTTAACATGGACAGACAGACAGACGGACGGACGGACATGCATAAATCGACTTAGAAAGTGATTATATGCATATTCTCAAAAGGAACCATGTGTCTATCTCGTTTCCTTTTGCCTGTTACAAACATATGCACAAAGACATAATACCCTGTACCACAGTGTGGTGAAGGGTATACAAATTGCACAGACCTCAGTTCTGAGGTCCTATTTTTTATCGAAAAAAATCGCACACACCTCAGTTCTGAGGTATTTTTTTTTCTATAGAAAAAATCGCAAAGACCTCAATTCTGAGGTATTTTTTTTTTCTATAGAAAATCGCATAGATCTCAGTTCACTGAGATATTTCTTCTATAGAAAAAAATCGCACTGACCACAGTTTTGGGTTCTTTTTTCTATAGAAAAAAAAATAAATTTTCATATTCCTGGATTTTTCAGAGATCTTTCACCCAACCCTCCCTTTGATATGATCCATGAACACCAATTATAAGCCATTATTCTGTAGGTTAAGTATCTATCACTAGATTTTCAAGGTTTCTAGAAACAACAATAAAAACAAAAAAACTAAATAAAATAAATGGTTTCTTTTTATCTAAAAAAACTTTAATTCATAATTCCCTTCCAGCACCCATTGCCCCCCGAAGAAGAAAGTTAAGCGAAAAACCACTTAAAAAGAAATGTTAATATAGATTGCGTGCATAAATCATATATGAATTTACATAGTTTCACAATTACCTGTCATACCTACGAAATCAAAAAAATGAAAAAAAAAAAAATGAAAAAAATAGAAAAACTACCACCGAACCAGTCAAAGAGAGTTGCCAATGTTGGACAATTTTATTTGCAATTTTGTACCAAAAATTATTTTTTTAAGTAGGTTTTATTTTTTACGGAAATGTGTGTTATCCTGATGAATGTTATATTTTTCAAAAAAAAAAAGAAACCAAAAAAAACCGACCAAAATTTTAATAATTTTTTTTGGTCGGAAAAAAAATATTTTTAATGTTGGGTATTTGGCCTTTAGAAAAAAATTGGAATATGATTTTGTGTCAATATTATCATCATCATCATAATTTTGACGATGTTTTTCAATTGAAAAAAAACGCCCAAAATCATCATCATTTTTTGGTCGATTTTTTTTACAATTTGAGTTTTTTTGTAGAACTCCTGGAAGAATGATTTTAATAAGAATGCATTCCTCAGGAAAATCTAATAATTTATATTATTTTTGTTCCCAAGAAATCACTCCTCACAATGTGAAAATAATTTTTCCTATGGAACACACGATTTTTTTTTCATTGGAACAACCGACCAATTTTACAAATATTATTTTTTTTTTCGTAGACAATTCCAAACATCAGCCACCAACACTACTACCAATGAACTCAACATTCCCCCGTCCCCAAATACAATACAATATTCACCTGTATATACCTTCTATGTATTGACTGGCAGAACCTCATCGTCATTCTGACTGGTCTGGTTAGTTTATTGACTAGAAAAAAATCATTCCTACCATTAAATCAAATACTATATGAGCTACTCTACCCACCCAATGAACACACACACTCACACAAGAAATGGGGTGGCCTGCCGCCTAGTTATTAACCACCAACCAACCACCCACCATTGTGGGTCGAAATACAAATTTACCTATGGCAGACCTCAGGTTAGTAAATAAATGGGGGTTGGAATTGGAATTTTCACCTGTGGAGACATCATTAACCCCACCTCCAACTGATTTTCCTGAAAAGCAAATGGGGTTGTGTGATATGTTGAAATATTTACTACGACGCACCTGAATGAGGTTAATAAAACATTGAAATGTCTTTCGTCAAAGCGACTCATTAGAAGAATTTACATTAAATCTGTCCATGAACTACAACAACAATAAAAAAAATAATTTTAGAAAACTTTTTGTTATAGGTGGGGGATTTGGTAAAAATGCAATTTGAAAATATATGGCATAAATGATTCTCAGGTCCTTTTTCTATAGAAAAAAGTCATAGACCTCAGTTCTGAGGTCTCTTTTTTTCCATAAAAAATCACAGACCTCAGTTCACTGAGGTCATTTTTTTCTATATAGAAAAAAATCGCGTAGAACTCAGTTCACTGAGGTCATTTTTTTCCTATATAGAAAAAAATCGCATAGACCTCAGTTCACGGAAGTCATTTTTTTCTATAGAAAAAAAATCGCAAAAACTGTAGAAAAAATCGCAAAGATTTTTTTCCTATAGAAACAAATCGCATAGACCTCAGTTCACTGAGGTCATTTTTTTCTCTAGAAAAAATCGCATAGACCTCAGTTCACGGAGGTCATTTTTTCTCTAGAAAAAATCGCATAGACCTCAGTTCACTGAGGTCATTTTTTTCCTATATAGAAAAAAATCGCATAGACCTCAGTTCACTTAGGTAATTTTTATACCCTTCACCACTCTGTTGTGCAGGGTATTATGTCTTTGTGCATATGTTTGTAACAGGCAAAATGAAACGAGATAGACCCATGGTTTCTTTTGATAATATGCATAGAATCACTTTCCGTCTGTAAATAAAGTGCAGGTCGCATTAATCATCCGAATTGGATGAAATTTGGCACAGCTCGTCTATTTGGCCCAAGGACGAACCCTATTGAAATTGGGAAAATTAGTTCAGATTTAGATATACCTTCCATATATATTTTCGTCCGATTTTAGGTAAATTGTGTACCAATGTCCCTATATATCTTCTTATATGCAGGAAAAACGGCATAGCGTACTGAATTAAGCCTAGAATGATGTGTGCTAAGTTTCATGAAAATCGGTTCAGATTTAGATATAGCTTCCATATATATTATCGTCCGATTTTATGTAAATGGTGCACCAAACTCCTTATATGTATATCTTTCGATTTGTACGAAATTTGGCATAGCGTACTGAATAAAGTCCAGAAATACGTGTGTTAAATTTCATGGCAATCAGTTCAGATTTAGATGTAGATCCCATATATATTTTCGTCCGATTTATGGTAAATAGTGCACCAAAGTCCCTGTATATCCTCCGATTTGCGCGAAATTTGGCATAGCGTAATGAATTGAGTCTAGAATGATGAGTGATAAGTTTCGGTATAATCGGTTCAGATTTAGAGATAGGTACCATATATATTTTCGCCCGATTTTGTGTAAATGGTGCACCAAAGTCCCTATATATCCGATTTGTATGAAATTTGGCACAGCGTACTGAATTAAGCCTGGAATGATGTGTGCTAAGTTTCATGAAAATCGGTTCAGATTTAGATATAGCTCCCATATATATGTTCGTCCGATTTTAAGTAAATAATGCAACAAAATTTGGCATAGCGTACTGAACTAAGTCTAGAATGATGAGTAAGGAGTTTTGGGAAAATCGGTTCAGGTTTCGATATAGCTCCCATATATATTTTTGTCCGATTTTATGTAAATGGTGCACCAAAGTCCCTACATATCGTTCGATTAGCACGAAATTTGGCATAGAGTACTGAATTAAGTATATAATAATTGGTATGTTCCCGTACTGCAAGAATCTACTACTTTTTACAACGATAACTCAATTTCCTTTATGTTATGGAAGAAAATAGTAAAATCTAGTAGATTCTTGCAATACCGGAAACGACCAAATGTGTGTTAGGTTTTGTGAAAATTGGGTCAGATTTAGATATAGCTCCCGTATATATTATCATCCGATGTAAAGTAACTGATGAACCAGTGTTCCTATATATCTTCGGATTTGCATGAAATTTGGCATGAAAATTGGTCCAGATTTAGATAGAGCTCCCATATATAATTTCAAAAATGCGACATCTGTTAGGATTCATCTGTTGAATATACCCAAAGTGGTTTCCGTTTCCTCGACAGAGGGGTCTACGATCCGAAACGACCCGAGTCTTACTCGGCCAACGTCTGTCATCTCAGCCCATTGTGTAAAAGCAATAGGGCTGCTACAACAACAACAACTCAAAGTGGTGTTTTTCTATATAAAAATGTCGCAAAGACCTCAGTTCATTTTTTTCTTTATTAAAAAAAAAACAAATAAGTTTGTTGTGTGCAATAATTAGCAACTTGTTGATAATCCACCGGGTTCTTTGACAACAAATAACAACAACAACAATGCTAATAAATGAATGAAATTCCTAAAAGCCTTGCAAAAGAACAACCAACAATCGAAGATAACCCAAAAAGAATGCCAAACAAACCTTGTTCGAATATTAAAAGTCAAAACAAAAGAAAGGAGTAATAAATTCGAACTCATCCGAACACATCCTGACAAACAGAGAGAGTGCAGTTTTAAGAGTATGTATATAGAGAGAGAGGGAGAGGTATTGCTACATAAAAAAATGCTTACATGGAATTCCAACTGTCCCTATTTACTATTTAAAGTAGCTCAACTATGCTGCGGAAGGGAAAAGGGGAAATTATTCATGAGAGAATTCCACATGAATTACTTGAAGACATAATAATTCACCTTAACAACATTGCTAAGAATAAATTTCACGTTGCAATAACAAATATCCTCATGTGGTTTAATAAAAAAAAAAAAAAAAAAAACAATAACAACACTGTTTACACACACTCTTACATATACGTTTTTTATGGATTTCAAAACTATGTAACAACAACAAATTGAAATTCTTTACAAAACTTGAAAAACAAACAGAAATACTTCAAAAACGAAAGATTTGTTAACTGATCAACGAAAAGTTTAATTTACTTTTCTTTGGGTATGAAGAGCAGGCTCGAACACACACACACACACACCACCCCCATCAGTAGCCCCCCATTTACATGATTGGTAGATAGGAGTGTTTGGTGGTGTTGGAGCTCTCCACTATGTTATCCACCCTCGCCACATTTGTTGTCTACAAAATGGCGTTCTCTACAGTGGTAGTTCACCCTCCACAATATAATACGATTTTTTTCTACTACTTACGATATCCATGTATAGATGCCGGAGACTGTCAGCTCACCCTTATCCTCAAGGGCGTATTCGATTAGTTCGGTGTATGTGAATGGTGGTTTCTTCGGCCTGAAAATGGGGATGAGGAGTTTTTTGTTGTTGTAGTTTGTGGTTTATGCCACATCGACCACACATAAAACAGCCAAGGTAGGACATTATTTATCGGCAGCAAGACGACGACCACCATCAAGGATTATAGTTGAAAGGTGGTGGGAACGATTTTTTGTTGGAAAGGGGAAAATAAAAAAGAAAATTTTTAATTTTTAAGAAACTTTAATAAGGAATTAAATATTTTTTTTATATAAAACTTAAATAGTCCTGAATATAAAAATAATAAATAAATCTCTATATGCGTGAGCATTTTCTTCGAAAAAAAAAGATTTTTTCAGAACTGAGGACACCGATTTTTTCTATAGAAAAATAGTCCTTAAAACTGAGGTCTCCAATTTCTTTCTATAGGAAAAAGACCTCAGTTCTGAGGTCTGTGCGATTTTTATACCCTTCACCACACTGTGGTACAGGGTATTATGTCTTTGAGCATATGTTTTTAACAGTAAAAGAAATCAATATAGACCCATGGCTCCTTTTGAGAATATGTATACAATCACTTTATGAGTCGATTTATGAACAAAGGATAGGTCGCATTTATGAGCCGATTTGGATGAAATTTGGCACATATCACTTACTTGGACGCCCAAGGACGAAATTGGAGAAAATCGGTTCAGATTTAGATATAGCTCCCATATACAGTTTCGTCCGATTTTATGTAAATGGAACACCATACCGCCAATATTGGTTCGACTGAGACAAAATTTGGCACAATTAGGCCCAGATTGATGTAAGCGAAGTTTTGTTGGAATCGGTTAAAATTTAGATATAGCTCCCATATATAACGATTTTATGTTAATGGTGCATCAAACTCCCAATATTGGTCCGATTGAGACAAAATTTAGCATAGATTACTGAATTAGGCCTAGATTGATATATGCCAGGTTTTGTTGAAATCGGTTCAGATTTAGCTCCCATATAAAGATTCGTCCGATTTTATGTAAATGGATCACCATACCGCCAATATTGGTTCGACTGAGACAAAATTTGACACAATTAGGTCCAGATTGATGTAAGCGAAGTTTTTTTGGAATCGGTTAAAATTTAGATATAGCTCCCATATATAACGATTTTATGTTAATGGTGCATAAAACTCCCAATATTGGTCCGATTGAGACAACATTTTGCATAGAGTACTGAATTATGTCCAGATTGATGTAAGCGAAGTTTTGTTGGAATCAGTTCAGATTTATATATAGCTCCCATATATATTTTCGTTCGATTTTATGTAAATGGTGCACCAAAGAGTCTAAATTTGTTCTATATTCACGAATGCTTTTTGTTAAGTTTGAAATCAGTTCGGATTTAAATATAGCTCACATATATACTATAGTCCCATTTTGTGTAAATAGTGCACCATAAATCCTGTTCTATTTGCACGATGTTTTGTTGTTGAAATCGGTCCAGATGTAGATATATTTGTGTCCGATTAAATATTGCTTAGCGTATTGGAGTAAAGACGTTTGAGGTTAAGATATAGCTTACATATATATTTTCATTTTGGATTTTGTGTCGAGATGAATTTCGAATAACGTATAGTGTTGCGGCATACCAAATGGTGGATACCACGGTTGCTCAAGACGCCCATCTATATATAAAATCTTATACATATTTTGCTAGATGATTGACATAAAATTTTTCATAGATTTCAGATTGTATCTCTATGAGTTGTTTTATTTAGTTCAAATATCTTCAACTTCACGCAGTTAATTTTGTCCGATTCCATTTCAATGGTCCTCCATAGATGCTATGTCTATTCTACAGAAAGGAAATTGTACATATGAGCATCTCTTGTATGTACCCAAACTGGTGAAGGGTATCATATAGTCGGCCCCGTCCGAATTTTGAACATTCCAACATTTTTTCTATGGAAAAATTCAACCTACGGCGGAAGTACTAGGACGAAACGAACGACAATCCCCATAATCCAACATTATACGGTGTGGGTTAAACCATAGGGTTGTGCAAATTTTGATTCAAATCGGATCCTCCGCTCGCTTATATGATCAAATTCGTTGTCGGCAAAATGTTGACAATTTTTTGGGTGGAGGTTCCAGAGAAAGTGGACTGATAATCTCCACATTCAAACTTTATTTAAATTTGGGAGACATATTAGGCAAGGTTTTGGTGATATCGGTTACTCCCTTCGAGAGTGATGGTGCGCACCAGCAGCTAGACCAGCTAGAAAATTGTATTTATAGAAAAATATTCCTTAGTGAACTAAGGTCTTCGATTTGTTCCATAGGAAAAAAAATACCTCAGTGAAATCAGGTCTTCGTTTTTTTCTAAAGAAAAAAGTCTTCAGAACAGAGGACTCCGATTTTTTTCTATAAAAAAAAATTCCTCAGAATAGAAAAAAAGTCCTCAGAACTGTGGACTTCGATTTTTTTCTATAGAAAAAAAGTCCTCAGAACTGTGGACTTCGATTTTTTTCTATAGAAAAAAAGTCCTCAGAACTGTGGACTTCGATTTTTTTCTATAGAAAAAAAGTCCTCAGAACTGTGGACTTCGATTTTTTTCTATAGAAAAAAAGTCCTCAGAACTGTGGACTTCGATTTTTTTCTATAGAAAAAAAGTCCTCAGAACTGTGGACTTCGATTTTTTTCTATAGAAAAAAAGTCCTCAGAACTATGGACTTCGATTTTTTTCTATAGAAAAAAAAGTCCTCAGAACTGTGGACTTCGATTTTTTTCTATAGAAAAAATTCCTCAGAACAGAGGACTCGGATTTTTTTCTATAGAGAAAATTCCTCAGAACAGAGAAAAAAAATCCTCAAAACTGAGGACTCCGATTTTTTTCTATAGAAGAAAATACCTCAGAATTGATGTCTCTGATTTTTTCTATAAAAATAGATCTCAAAACTGAGGGCTGTGCGTTTTTTTTCTATAGAAAAAAGACCTTAGAACTGAGGTCATTTTCTAACGAAACTAGCTATTATGTATTTAGGGTTCTAATATGAAATTTAACAGACCGCCTGAAATTTTTTGTCCATATGTCTGACATAGTCCAAATTTGAAGGATCCGCTCTATTTTAGGTATTTTGAGGTCCTACCCGCATTTTCAAAACGAACATGCTATAATTTGGTGCTTAGGTTTCGAAATGGTAACATACCCTTTTGAAAAAGAATATTTTTTTATATGTGCATATTTGGAATAGTCCATATTGAATGGTCCAGATCCCTTTGTGTTTTTTTAGATTGGTAACAGTCTGTTGAATTTTCTGACTCTTAGAGATTAAAGGTTCTAAAGGAAAATTATCATTTTAGGTCCATGTTTTGACATTTTATGTAGGTACATATGTCCTCGGGGTTTTGACGTAGCTCTATTGTAATAAAAGAGGCTGATCATCCTTCTATAAGTATGAAAAATTATATGAACATATTCTGACACACTATTTTATATATTCCGAAGACCCTTCCAAATCGAAGTGACTCACAAGGTAGTAGAAACGATTCAAAACATATCTATAATATGACATAACCCTCATATGAAAATCCTCATTTCTGAACCAGGACCAATTTGGCATTTAGGGTTCTGAAATGGTAACAGACCCTCTGAAAAAGTATTTTGAAAATTAATAATGGTCCCGATCATTTTATTTAATTGGAAGCTCCAATATGTGACTCCTGGAGTCTATATTATGAAATTTTATATTGATTTTGCAGAAAATGTCTTTGGGCATATATTTGTAACTGGCAAAAGGAATCAAGATAGACCCATGGTTCCTTTTGAGAATATGCATAGAATTACTTTCTGAGTCAAGGAATGTTCGTCCCTCCGTCTGTTGATGTTTAATTGTAAACAAAGTACAGGTCGCATTTATAATCCGATTTTGATGAAATTTGGTACAGCTCATTTATTTGACCCAAGGATGAATCCTATTGAAATTTGTGAAATCGGTTCAGATTTCCATATATATTTTCGTTCGATTTAATGAAAATGGTGTAGCAAAGCCCCAAATATCTCTTGATTTGTGAACCAGAACCAATTTGACATTTAAGGTTCTGAAATGGTAACATACCCTTCTGAATAAAACATATTTATTATATGTGAAAATGTGGATTCTGTACATTTTAGCATCTATGTGATTGTATATTCGATTTTCTGACTCTCAGTGGCAAAATGATAATTTTAGGTCCATATTCTGAAATGTTGGGTATTTTGAAGGTCGTTTCTTTTTAACATAACTGTTAATATGCCCTAGAGATGTAGATGACCCGACTCCAATGTAATGATCCGATTTTTTATTGGTTCATCTTGGTGTAGGCTATAAATTTCGTTTGCCCAGCAGAACTTTTTTTCATTTCGACCTTACGTATTTTACCCTAAAATACCTCCCATAACAGACTTATGAACCTAACGTTATAGCCTAAACTACATTAATAAATCTCCTACTTTCAATACTTACGCTCTTTGCGGTACAGTGGTATCCTCAATGACAACATTTTCAGCAACGACCATATCACTGCCCTCCATTTCCGATGTAACCTCCATAACTAACTCCTCGAATTTCTTACCGGCTTTATTTGCATTTTTCGGAGATTTTGAACGTTCTCGACCATTTGTGGCGGAATTAGAAGAATTTCCATTTACAACCTTATAACCACCGCTACCACCATTACAATTTAATGCCGATCTCTGAGATTTATTTTGTGCGCCCGTAATGTCAGGATTCAAATGGGGAAATTCATCAAATTTAAAATTCAAAAGCCATGATAGGTTACGATCCTCAAAGTCGGGATCACTGTCTATGGGCATTTGTTGATTGTGCAGAGATAGTAAGGGGTTTCCGCATACGGCAGATGATTTGGAGTTGACGTCATGGGAATTGGAAATATATTGTCTTGGAGTGGATTGCATATGCTGATGCTGAGGATTAGGATTCGAATGGGTGGTGTTTTGACGCTGTTGCTGTTCGACCATGGTTACCAAATTTTCCTCGTGCGGTTTCAGGGATACCGTGGGATTTAATTGGGTGATTTCTGTTTGCAATGTGGAGTTATACCGATGATCGAGTTCCAAGAGATCAGTGGCCTGCCAATTATCTCCATTCTCCTCTTCAAATTGTTGACTGTTGGTATTTACACAAATGGCCGAGGGTGTGGTAAAACTGGGCTCGCCATTGTTGAGTATATTATCCGCCGAGGTTGTGGGCACCAATAAATTCGCATCATAGGCAAAGAGATCATTTATGAATGCCGGATTATTGGTCATAATGTTGAAGGTGTTGGAACTGGTGCTGGTGACATGGGTGACCTCCGCAGAGGAAGTGTGGGAGGTGGTGGGAGAAGTCTGGTTATTCCCATTATTTGTTGTTGCATATTTTCCTGGCGAAGATGTGGGAATCTCGCAGCTATTATAAGGTGTCGATGGTGATGTGGTATCCGGGGTCATTTCATAGTTTTGAGGATTTCTCCCCTCCTCCTGCTCCTCCTCTTCATTGTGCTTTTGTTTCTTCCATGAATTATTACTATCACTGTTTTGATTTTCTATACTCCGATTTTCAGTTGGGCTGATGTCATTCTCATCGTCGGGATATTTACGTTTTAAAAAATCACAAAATTCACTTTGACTTTGGTTATTGGTGGATGGACCGTTTGTAACGGGCATATTTAAAATCATCTTCTTCGAGGGATGAACAAAACACACACACAAACAAGAAGAAGAGGACTAGAAGTGTTAAATAATTTTTTTCTAAGTTGAAATATGTCACCACTTGTCACTTTTCACTTGCCACTTTTCATTTCATGTTTTCAAATTAGTTTTGTTCCCCATCAGCTTATCTCAAATAATAGTAGGTGTAACCGTTAACAGAACGTTTCCAAACCGTTTAGGAAAAAATGTTGTTGTTTACCTTTGCCGTGTTTGTATCGAACTGAAATATCCTTTTTTCCACAAATTTCCTTTTTCCACTTTATTCATTCATTCATTCATGTCGCCCTTAAGCGGCGACGCATCATATCGTAGCGTATCAATTAAATTTCACATCAATTTTGCGCAATTACTCTCAGTAGGGGTTTTCGGTTGTCTCTCTCACTCTCTCTGATATTCCCAATTCTCTCCTGCCCCTAGTGTGTACAGTGGTGTGGAAACCGAAAAATGCGAAACCAATTTCGTTTGGATTCATCTTTATACCCTCCACCATAGTATGGAGGGTATATTAATTTTGTTTTTCCGTTTGTAACGCATCGAAATAATCATTTCCGACCCTATAAAGTATATATATTCTTTATCAGCGTAAAATTCTAAGACGATCTAAGCATGTCCGTCTGTACGTCTGTTGTAATCGCTAAAATTTTGCATAGAGTCGTCTTTTTTTTCTGCAGGCAGGTCAAGTTTGAAGATGGGCTTTATCGGTCCATGTTTAGGCATAGCTCCCATATAAGGGTACCCCCCATATCTTCGGTATTTGGGGGTTCTTGAGCGCATTTTTCAACCGAATTCACTGAAATTTGGTACATTGGGTTCTTATTGGGTACTCAATGTCTCCACAAAAAATATATAAATATAGGCCCAATTTTTCTGGTAGCCCCCATATAACGGTACCTCTTAATTTTCAATATTTTGGGGGTTTTTAACGTATTATTCCGCCGAATTAGCTGTAATTTAGTATTTTGAGTTCTTAATAGGTTCCAAATTTCTCCACAAAAAATTATGAATATAGGTCCATTTTTTCGGATAGCCCCCATATAAGGGTACCCCCCAAATGTCGGTATTTTGGGGTTCTTGAGCGCGTTTTTCAACCGATTTCGCTGAAATTTGGTACATTTGGTTCCTATTGTGTGCTAAATATCTCCACCAAAAATTATAAATATAGGTCCATATAAGGGTACCCCCAATTTTCGCTATTTTGAGGTTCTTGAGCACGTTTTTCAACCGAATTCGCTGAAATTTGGTATTTTGTAGTCGAATATGGTAACAAATTTCTCTACAAAAAAATTTTAATATGGTCCAAAGAAACATGGGGTCTAGAACCAATATTTCGATGAGGCACATTTTCACGGTGTAAATTGTATACACCCTCATTAGCCATACGGCTGAGGGTATAATTATCCATTAACAATTTCTGAAATTTGTATTATAGTTTACATAGAAATGTCGGTATAGGTCCACTTTTTGGTATGTTCCCTATATTTTCATTTCTAGTACCTGTCAGTATGGTGGAGGGTATCCAAAGTTCGGCCCGACCGAACTTAACGCTTATTCACTTGTTTTTTTTAATTTTGATTACTTCTTAATTCATCCCTTATCTAGGGATTTTTTACGAACTAGGAGAAATAGTAGATCAAGTATTCACCAAGGGGGAATAGTATATCAAGTAATCCCCCTTGGATCAAAATTGACCAAATAATTCCCCTAAAAAAGGTTATGATGGAAACACAATTTCACATGATAGTGTCCATTCAAGATCCCTAAAATCGGGCTAGACAAGGGGCTATGTCAAAACATGAACTTGTATTTCAAATTGCCTGAAAGGAGGTTTTTTTATCCTCTGAGGAGTTTTTTTACCCGAACATGGGCCTTAACTTTTATATGGAGGCCATGCCAATTTTAAAAACAACGCAAATAACCCTTCCTCCATTAGGTGCATATTCAAAATAACTAAAATCGGTATCAATCCGACCTTAGGGTCAGGGGATAATCTCAAAAAATGGACTCACAAGGAGAACTACATGCCACGAAGTTGTTAACCTCTGAGAAAACGAAATACCTAATAACAGACACATGGATTGGAAAATTCGAATAGGAGATTCAACATATCGAACATAAAGCGGAACATTTATATTGTGCTCATACCATAACATGATACTATAGGGAATTAATTCAACGTTAACAATAATAAAAATTGGTCAAAGCTCAAGCCTCGGACCGTGGATTAGGTCAGGAGGTTTTTATACTCTGAGAAAACTAAATTACGGATACTTAGGATGGAAAATTCATCTACGACCTTCAACATAGCGAACATTTATATCATCATGTGCGCATTCAAAATCACTAAAATTGGTCGAAATCCTCGAAAACCTCAAACCGGGGACTATGTCGAAACATGGACTTACATTATAAATTATCTGCCAGGAGGTTTTTTTATCTTTTGAGAAAAATGTCAGACACTTAACATGGAAAATTCGTCTGGGACCTTTAAAATACTGAAGATCAAACTGGACCTTTATATGAAGGACATGTCCGAACTAGAACCTATAATGAATTAATTCGATGTTAAAACAGCCTTCTGAATAGGATACTGAAATAAAAAAATACAAAAAGGAAAATATGCAGTTTTAACCGAACGCTCCATGAAGTATGCTGATCCTAAGTTCCACTTCCGAAGCAAACAACTTTTTAACTAGTTCTACTTCTTACAGGAAGGAGATCTTACATCAAAAATCTGTGAATGAAGAAAACTCTGCATGCTGGGGACTAAAAAAATCAAAAAATGATGGGAACTCTAAAAAAATCTATACCCTTTAGAAGTTGATGGTAGAAGGGAATTTTTCTATTCTATATCACATGTTCGCACAATATAACAGGACGGTCTTAAGATGAAATATCAATGATAGTCTGAAGTGCAGAATTCTATGGAGGAATCCATTTCCTATGCTCAATTTGAGACATGCAACAGAGAAACAATCAAGCAGTAATGCAGAATTGTCCTGTGGCGTCTCCGAATTCTGAAATCAGAATGCTCCCTCCACTTCTTAGGATTCGACTAAGGGAATATCTGCTGATTTTTTTTTTCGAGAAAACCATGTAAAGATTCTTTTACATTAGATCTTTTTATCGGGTTAACCTACTTTAAAAATTTATTTTCCAAAGACAAAGGACAAAATCTGCTGAAAATATATTGGGGACACTGAAAAAATGTTAACCCTTCAGAAGTGATAGATGGTTGATAGGTTTGCTAAAAAATACAAAATGGTGGTGCGAGCGAACAATCATACAGTAAACGAGTGAGCGAAGCAATATAGTCGGACTGGGCCGACCATACGATACCCCACACAACTTCCACGAAAATTTAATTTCTGTGGTTCTATATTCTGAGCTTGGGCAATATTTCGCGATATTTGCATTTTCTTGACCGACTAGAGGTCAACAAATATTACTAATACTCAGTACAGCCCTTCTAATTACTTGTCCATATTCCCTTCATCGTGGGCTGTGTTGTGATGTTCGGACTTTCAATTGTAGACTCTAGATCGATTCGAAAAAAATATCCCAATATTATTACCTGATCATAATTGAAAATTAAAGGCATGGTCCTTGACCATACCTGGATCCTCATGGAAAAGTTCAAAGCGATCAGCGCTATATTTTCGCCCACTAGAGTGGTAATGGGTTACTAAAAAATATATATTTACGTAAACACCAGTAAATATTTAAGTGTAACTCCCACATCCGACTACATACTATAATATAATTGGCATCAAATTAAAGGCCAGCCTCTTGGATATACTAACAACTTATTGGGTCTATGTTCTTCAGGATTAAATATATACGCTATAGAATACAAATTTTGTCATTTTTCACAAAAAAGTCAGAGTCCATTTGACCCGTTAAATATTGACCGATCTTTATCAAAACAGGCATACTTATTCTTTGGCCCAATTCTATTCTCCATGTAAAAATTCGCGATGTAGCGGCCTCTGGAGCGACCAGAAAAACCGACAAAAATTTTGTATTTGGTCCATTTCATCCCCTAAATATTAACCGATCTTTACCAAAAACAATAGGGGTCTTTATTGACCAGAACCCATCCTACATGCAAAATTTCGTGAAGATTGGTCCATAACTATGGCCTGTATCTTGTTTACAAATTATAATGGACAGACGGACGGATGGACACATATGTCTAGATCGACTCAGCTAGTCGAGATATGATGATCGGTATAGTTAAAGGCGGTATACTTAGGGCTGCACAAAGCTAAATACTCTGACAACATTGTTGTGTAGGGAATAAAAAGGATGATCTTAAAACATCCCTCATTTACTCTAAAAATCGCCTGAGTTGTAGAATTAAATTCTGATATTTGTAAGATGTGGATAATGGACGGGAGACACGAATAGTATATTCTTAAAGAATCCATGAATCTTATCTTCACCGCTTCGAAAGAAGTATAAAAGATCTACAAGAAACCATCACACATTAAAGCAGCGTATCTATTTGGATGAAATCAGTTATATGATTCGCACAGCCGGCCACACAGACATTTATAAATCAATTCCAAATTATGTGAAACGGATTTGGCCCAAAGAGGTTTACCTTCTGAGAATCCGAAATGCTCGATTAACAGGCACTTTTATCGAAAAAATCGGCTATGACATTCCAAATGTCGTCCACCTTTTGATGTAGACCTCATATAACGGTATCCCCCTGTATTCGGTATTTTGGGTATGTTTTCTAAGCGAATTGGCTGTAATTTGATATTTTGGGTTCTCGTTGAATAACACACACATCAGTAATAAAAGTTATTAATATTGACCCATGTTTCAGTGTAGACCCCATATAGCGGTACCCCGCAATATTTGGTATTTTGGGGATTTGAGTCATGTTTTCCAACCAAATTGACTGCAATTTGAAATTTGTGATTCTCATTGACATCATCTCCGTAACA